TTCGCCATGCTCGACACTTTCGAGGTCTTGACTACCTCGGGCGTCGTCCTCTGGTCGCGCACATATGTGCCCGTCGGCGCAAATGTTATTAATAGCTTAATTCGCGACGTCTTCATCGAGGAGCGCATACAACCGCAGGCTGAAGATGCCGGTTCCAAGCCGACGTACAAAAAGGAGGGTTACACGCTGAAGTGGACGGCCGCAAAGGATCTGGGCCTCATCTTTGTAGTATGTCTTATAACCATGTTGCGTCTCGGAACATGGCGCATGGCGGCCTAGTGGCACAGGCACAGTGGCTAACTTGTACAGGCAGTATATCAGAGTCTAGTCCACCTCACATGGATAGACAAACTCCTCGACAATGTGCGCGCACTATTTGTTGGTCTCTACGGCGAGCAGCTCAAAACACAAAACAGCAGCGTGGTCAAATGCGACAAGTTCGGTTCATACTTTGACCGGCAGATGCAAGAGTTGGAAGGCGCAAGCGACTCTGGTACTCCAAGCATCAAGCTCATTACACCGGAATCCAGTACGGACAATGATAGTGCCGACGAAACTGCTCTGAAGCCACCCGGACTACAAAAGCCTCAGCCATCTTTGTACGATACGAGTGCCGACTCGACACCCGTGCCCACACCCGACACTTCACGACCAACTACCCCCGCACAGAGCCAGCTCTTGACCGGCAAGGCGAGGCCTCTTGGAGGAAAGATATCGAGGAGGGACAAGAAGAAGGCGTCTGCCTTTAGTTCGGCGCCCGTGTCGTCGGGCGATGAAGCGTCAGCCAAGAAAAAGGGCAAAGGCTCAAAGAAGGGGAGGGTGTGGGGAGAATTCGGTGCTGATGAGGAGGATGACTCGGTGCTAGACTACTCCCGATCAGACATCCAGGGTGACGTCTCCGGAAACGAAGCGTTGGAAGAGATCAAGCAGGAGACGTGGGGCCGCAAGACAAACAAGGGTGAGTTTGTCTTGAGGGATCTTGATGATGAGATGGATGCCATAATTGCCGAGCAGAACGCAAAGAAGGACAAGGACACTCCGGCCGCTGCTAGTGGCCTTGTCGGATCCAGCCTAGGTGCTATCGGAGGACTCTTCAGGAACGTGGTGGGTGGAAAGACGCTCACAAAGGAAGACTTGGCCAAGCCACTCAAGGGCATGGAAGAGCACCTGTTGCGCAAGAACGTAGCACGCGAAGCTGCAGTCCGGTTATGCGAAAGCGTAGAGCGCGATCTTGTAGGCATCAAGACACCCAGTTTTACCAGTCAGTGCCCCTATCCCATCTCCCAACCCCAGTACTAACACCATCCAGCCATCGAGAAGACCCTCAAGACATCCATGGAGAAGGCCCTAACCAAGATTCTCACCCCAACCTCCTCCCTCGACCTCCTCCGCGAAATTCAACACACAAACTCGACAACAACCCGCCCCTACGTCCTCTCCATCGTCGGCGTCAACGGCGTAGGAAAATCCACAAACCTCTCCAAAATCGCCTTCTTCCTCCTCCAAAACCACCACCGCGTTCTCATCGCCGCAGCAGACACATTCCGCTCCGGCGCCGTCGAGCAACTCCGCGTGCACGTCGACCGCCTCAAAGAACTCTCCCAGCGCGAAGGCGGCCACGTCGACCTCTTCGAAAAAGGCTACGGCAAAGACGCGGCAAACATCGCCGCAGATGCCGTGACGTTTGCGGCGAAAAACAACTTCAACATCGTCCTCATCGACACGGCGGGCCGCCGCCACAACGACCAGCGTCTCATGTCGTCGCTGGAGAAATTCGGTAAACTAGCGAATCCGGATAAAATTCTCATGGTAGGGGAGGCGCTCGTGGGTACGGACTCCGTGGCCCAGGCTCGCAACTTTGATGCGTCGTTTGGCGTGGGGAGACGGCTGGATGGGTTTATTATTTCCAAATGCGATACCGTGGGGGATATGGTGGGCACGCTTGTGTCGATGGTTCATGCGACGGGTATTCCGGTTGTTTTTTTGGGGACCGGGCAGCATTATAGTGATTTGAGGACGTTGAATGTGGGGGCTGTTACGAGGCTGCTTATGAGTTAGGGGGTGGGTATGGTTTATGATGGGGGGTTTTAGGGAAGAGGGGGGGCACTGTTGTATTGTATTATGATATCATATTAACACAGGCTTTACCTGCCATACAAAACGATTGGAATTTGCCGCCATGTTATTTTGCTACCTTTATGGAGAATTGATGGTGGAAATGGGTTGACATGTGGCAGTCACGTAGTTAGGAAGGGTGGGGTCGATGGATCTCGACCTCACTTTCCAGCCAGAACCAAGCTCACCGTAACTACTTGGTCACACGGAACCGACGCTGTTTAGTTTTTCTGGTTGTCAAATCTGAGTCGGACTGCTTAGGATGCCGCGTCCGTCTTCTCCTACGTGCTGTTCGTTCTGGTTTCTCGATTTGCTCTTGATGGCATGACAACTACCACGGGAAGGTTTGAGGGAGACAAGATGTGGGTGGATGTTTTTTAGAAGGGACGACATGATACAAGCAAGGTAAGCGAGGTAAGAATCGTTGTGTTGACAAAATGAGGGTAGTGGTAGTTGCGATGGGAGGCGCATACTGCTACATCGAAAGAGCCCTGAAGGATTTTGTTGGGTGCCGCGAACTTCACCAATTCACACAATTCACACCTGTTTGTTTTCCGGTTTACATCTTACGCCTCACGCCGCCATGCAATGCCCTTCCTGGCTAGACAAGTGGCTACACAAGTGGTTTGTCGCGGGACAGGGGTCGTCTTTCACCACACCGTCTCTGCCCAGTCGGTTTGGTAACCTCCCTCAGTCGGTTTCTGCTCTCCTGTCAACGCTGGTCTTTAGTGCGGTCTATGCGGTAATTGTCGTGGGGTTGTTTCTTCTGCTCAGGACGAGACAGAAACGGCTGTATGCTCCAAGGACATACCACGAGGCCATTGAGGAAAGGTATGTTGGCTTGTCGTCTGTTGAGTAATGATGGCTGCTAACGGGTACGTTTAGATGGAAGACGCCGTCGCCTAGTAGCTCTTGTCTGGGTTGGATCAAGACGTTTATTAACACGAGTGATGAGTTTGTGCTCAATCATCATTCCCTGGATGCGTACTTGTATATCCGGTTTCTCAAGGTGCTTACGATCATGGCAACGGTTGGCGCAGTTATCACGTGGCCGATACTCTTACCTGTTAACGCTATATATGGCGGCGGTCAGGATGGGCTGAACATGCTCAGTTTCTCGAATGTTGTGAGTCCGTCGCGACGGTTTGCTCATGCAATCATGGCCTGGGTCTTCTTCGGCTGGGTCATGTATGTCATCGGTCACGAGATGATGTTCCTGGCGGAGCTGCGGAAAGCATACCTCCTGTCGATGTGGAACTCGAGTTGTATCACGCAACGGACAGTGCTCTTTACCGGCATACCCGCGGAAGATCTCTCGTTGGAGAAGTTACAGGGCAAGTTCCAGAACGCGGTGCAGATTACGCTGGTGCCGGATATGGGCGACGTTGAGTATGATATCAAGAAGCTTGAAAAGGCGAACGCGAACCTTGAGATCAGCGAGATCAAGCACTTGAAGGTTTTAAACAAGCGCCAGAGGAACAACCAATCGATGGAAGACAAGGCGTTGCGAACGACACATCGATTGAAGCCTCTCATCGGACAAAAGGTCGACTCTCGTCGATACTATGGCGGCCAGATCAAAGAACTGCTGCCCAAGATTGACGCAGCACAGCTTTCGCATCTTGCTGGTAAAGAGAAGCTTATGAATGCTGTCTTTGTCGCATTCGACACTATGTCTGCCGCTGAGACCGCCTTTAACGAGAACCTTGATCGGAGACTAGCCAAGTTTGAGTCGAGACAAATGGGTGTATTGCGCGAAGAAGTCATCTGGAAGAATCTCGGAATAAGCTCAAAGAATAGACACAAGCGACGTATTCTTGCAAACCTTTTCATCACGGCACTAATCATACTCTGGACGATCCCCGTCGCAAGTATCGGCAGCATTAGCAGTCTCATCTACCTTCAGCCCAGGCACCAGGCGGAGATGTTCGGCATAAGTAATCCTATCGCTCGTGCTATTTTAACAGGACTTTTACCCGCTATTCTCCTTGCTATGCTTATGGGATTGGTACCTGTCATCTGCCGCTGTAAGTCCTACTCATACAACACTGAATCCTGGCTAATCAAGACAGTCGTTGCAAAACTCTCCGGTGCAGCCACTCTCTCCGAAGTCGAACAACAGACCCAAGCATGGTGCTTTGCATTCCAGGTAGTCCAAGTCTTCCTTGTTATGACTTTTATCCCCAGTATCGAATCGATAGTCATCCAATCCTGCAATGCCCTCAAAGACGTCTCGACGCTCCTCATCCAGCATCCGGCCAAGTCTTCCAATTTCTACATGTCCTATTTCATTCTCTATGGCTTGGTAAATGCATCCCGGTATCTAATCAATACACCGGGCCTGCTAAACGGAATCCTTCTCAGCAAGTTTGACAAGACGCCAAGGCAGATGTACATGCGCTACATGTCCTTCAGCGAACCACCGTGGGCCTCTGGGTACTCCAAATGGGCCACTTTGGGTGTCATCGCCTTGTCTCACGCCGTGATTGCGCCGCTTATTCTGGGCTTTGCCGCCATCGGTCTGGGTCTTGTTTACCTGGTATACAAATACAACATGCTATACGTATACGATGCACGCATCGACTCCAAAGGCGGCTTTTACGCCCGCGCCCTTGAAGAGCTAATGGTTGGTGTATACCTCGGCGAGCTATGTCTCCTCTGTCTCTTTGCGCTCGGCCCGAGAGTTGGGTTTGTCTACCATGGACTTGTATTTCTTCAAGCAGGTCTCATTGCTTTGACGATCATCTTTCATATGTTCTTGGGGAGAGAGCTTAAGAAAATGAGCCTTTTCAGCTACAAACAGCCCAACAGCGACAACACGGAAGCGTCAAGCCAGGAGAAAGACCTCACGGGCTACCCCGACGGTGGTATCACCGCTGCAAACACTAGTGATACCCAAATCTCTAAGCGTCGCTCATCTCGCCCCGATACTGCCCTTATATGGACCTTGAATCAACCAACCATCCACAACCCTGCAGCAATCCGTCTTTCTCCAGCCAATCGCTCCCTCCACAAAAAAATCCTTCCCAGACACACGCCCACCGCCGACTTCCCCGTCCCGGAGTGCACCGAGCAAGACGTAACAGAAGCATCCCTACATCCTGCGTCGGCACAGAGGGAAGTCGTTGTATGGTTAGCGAGAAACAAGGCAAGATCTAGTGAGGCGCAGGTTAAGAAGTCTTGGGAGGAGCTTGAGGAATCAGGGCTCAAGGTTACAGATTGCGGGTTTGAGTTGAATGAGAAGGGAAGGGTGGCTTGGGAGGAGGGAGGCGTACGGACAGCACCGTTCCTATCCTCGTAACAAGCGTGGTGGGTATGTATTCTTATGAGATTGTTTAGTTTTATTGTATCCTATTAGCTTGCTGTGCAGTCGGGTGATGTGGAATACTGCAGATGCTAGTGTGTAGAGGTTACTGCGCGCGCTAGACATGTCTATTAGGTGATTATCCACATTTTCAAGTATACCATGTCACCCAGCATGCTACATGTCATGTCATGCGGTTACAGCCTACATCCTAGCCAACCACCAAGTTTACCACCTACATCCCAGCAACCTCCCACTTTCATCGCCCCCACCCCTGCTACCCCATCCAAGAAATTACATCACTCCCGTCTCCCACAGCCCGCCTACACATCCGCCACACCACACCACACCGCACCGCACTCTTCTCGCCCACCGCGCTTCGCAAATATACAGGTATTTCGCAGTGTCATTCTGCGCATGACCACGTTGACGCGTTCGACGCTACGTAGCGCCCGTCGGACGCTATCCGTCGCGCTCTACTGGTTCGGGGCGGCTTTTAGTGGGTGGACTAGAGAAACTTGGTACCTACTCTGGCGGCAACTTGACTGCGCACGCGGGGAGATTTGGTGCGGTGGTGTGGGTGGTGACGTAGGGATTTGGGTTTGGTAGCTTGGATTTGGGGGGTTGGTGACCTGTTTGGGGGTGTGGGAAGGGCGCGTGGGAGGGGGGATGATGTAGGCGGGATGAGACGGGAGGCGCGAGTGAGGGGTGGGTGTATAAAGGGTGGTGAAAGGACGGGGTTTGGATGTATACTTGAGTGGTTTGAACTTGAAATTGAATTACTTGAATACTTTGAACGACTTGGAAAACTCACGATAACGAGTACCATTATACGAACACATCAGCATTACTGTAGCGTACTTGGCCATATCACATTATACCAACCTTTTCTTTGACTTTCTTTTTGGCAGACTTTGTATACATATAAGATAGACGTATAGAGTGACAGGATGGCAGGCGCAGAGCAAGAGATGAAGGTACAGGAGGAGGTACAACAGACACAGCAGGAGACGCAAGAGGTGAAGAAAGTGGAGCATGAGATATTGCATGGGACGGAGGTTGGTAGTGATGTATGTTCTTTCCCTCTCCTTCCTCTTCCTCTTCCCCTCTTCCCCTCTTCCTTGCTCAATCTATCGGCGATGAGAGATGTCAGACTGACAAAACCCCAGGTCCCCCAGCACACTAAAAATGTAGCTCCTCTCCCTGCTGCCGAACAAGGCGACTCACTACCCGGTATGTCAGGTGGTGGCGTTGTAGCGGTTATATTGGCGGGACCACCAGTCGTCTCCTCTTCTAGCGAAAAAGAGGAGAAGGAAGAAACCTCAACCAGCAACATCAGCATAGACAACGAAAAGATTGGAGATATCAGCGAAGACATCAGCGCCAGCGACACCAATAAACAACCCTCCACTACCGCCGCGGCCATCAGCACAGAGAAGGAAGAGACTAGCAACTCCAACTCGACCAACGACAAAACCGAAGAAACCACAAAAGACTCCACCATCACAACCAAACACGAGACTCTAAACTCCGATGAGATCACCCTCTCCACAGCATCTACCAGTGCAGACACGCAAGAAGCAAGAGTCCAACGACGCGCTGATGCGTTGGAGGAGAACACAAGCGAGGGAAAAGATGAGGTGGAGAAGGAGAGTGGACACGCTGATGTTGAGGACTTACATGGTGCCGTTGACAAATCCGTCGCCGAAGTTGAGGGTGGGGAGCAGGACGGTGGAAAGGAAGAGAAAAAGGATGGAACAAGACAGGAGGATCAAGACAAAGGAAGTCTGGTCGACCAGGTGCAAGAGAAGGTGGATCAGGCTTTTGGTGCCGATCTAGGCGAGAAGAATGAGGGCAAGACTGAGGATGGTGCTGCTGTCAAGGATGAGAGTGAGACGAAACAAGAGGAGGCTCAGAGTCAAGGTGCCGTTGATGAATCAGTCGCCGAAAATGCTGAGACTGAGGGAGAGAAAGAAAAAGAAGCTCAAGATAAGGTTGGCTTGGTCGACATCATTCGAAAGAAGGTGGCGGGTACGTTTGGTTTTGATCTGGGTGGGGGTACTGTGAGTAAGGCTGAGGATGGGGCTGGTGTTGAGGGTAAGAGTGAGCCAAAACAAGAAGACCAAGACAACAGAAACTTGAGAGAGGAGGTCCAAAAAAAGGCGGAGGAGACTCTCGGGGTGGATTCAGACGAGAAGAGTGCGAAGTCTGAGCAGCAAGAGGATAGTACGAGCACGGACTTCGGAGAGAAGGTTAAAGAGAAAGCGGAGGGGACTTTGGGTGTTAGCTTAGACAAGGAGGATGTGAAAGAGGTTGTTGTCGGTGAGCAAAATGAAGAGAAGGACGATGCTAAGAGCAAGAATATGGGTGAGAAGCTCCAGGAGAAGGCGGAAGAAACTTTGGGACTCAGCGTAGACAAGGAGGAGGCTAGTAAGAGCGAGGGAGCAACTCGTTTTGAGGACAAGGATGAAGCAAAGAGCACAGACTTGGGAGACAAAATTCAAGAGAAGGTGGAGGGGTCATCTGATGCCGATCTAGACGAGAAGAACGCCAGCGCTGCCAATGACGGGGAGAAGGAAGATGCGAAAAGCATGGACTTGGGAGAAAAGATCCAAAAGAAGACAGAGGAGACGTTTGGTGTTGATCTAGAGAGGAGTGTCAGTGCTGCTAGCGATGGGGCTACTATTGGGGGTATGGCAGGTTCAGCGGTTGGTGCAGTTGCTGGTATCCCGGGTGGACCGGTAGGTGCAGCCGTCGGCGCAGCTATTGGAGGCACCTCTGGTGTGGTTGTTGGGGCAGTCACTGGGGTCGTTTCTGATAAAGATCAGAATGTTGGTGAGAGGGAGAAGGAGGTAAGAGATTGTGAGAAGAGCCACGACGACGCAAATGGCGCAGATGAGGAGAGTCCAGATGGTACTGCTGCAAAGGAGCAACAGGTCCCGGATGTCTCTGGTGCAACAAGCCAGATTGACACGGATGTCGCAACTGAGCAAGAAACAGAGAAGAGTCAGGAAGCCGCTGTTGGCGAGAGCCAATATTGCACGGATGATACGTATGTTCTAGCTGCAAAGGAAGAGCTTGGAAATGGGAGTAAGAAGATTAACGATGACGTCGTTGGAAAGGAGGAAGAAGGTGCGATCGATTCTCACGGAAAGAGTCAAGATGACGTCGTTGCTTCCGAGGATAAGAGCGCGGATGTCGGAACCAAGGAGATTCAGGACGACGTTGTTGAGAAGAGCCAGGATACTACAAATGGTGCCGGTGCAGAGAAAGAGCAGCGCACGAGCGATCTAGAGACGACAAGTCACAATGGTACGGGTGAACAAGGTCAAGAAATTGCCAGTGGAGAAATCCAAGAGGCTGCAAGTGGAAAGACTCACGATGATGCCGACGCCCAGAACCAGAACGACACAAACGACGCCGATGCAAAGGCAGAGCACAACAAAGGAACCGACCCAGTATCGACAAACCACGGAAACCTCGGCGATGAGATTCAGAGAGAAAATGCTCAGAGATTCGGCGTCAATCTGGATAACGACAAAGCCGCTACTGATGGGTCTGATGCAAAGGCCCATGGCAAGAGCGGTGCAAGAGGAAAGACTCACGAGCGTTTCGATAGTGTAACCTCCCCCGACATGGATTTCAGCCCCAAAGCTGGAAATTTCGAAGGTAGCAAGGAAGAAGATGGAAAAGCCAGTGAAGAAGAGACATCTGCAACCACGGAGATTGGCGGCAAGACCGATGAAGCGCAGACATCTGCAATCACGGAGATTGGCGGTAAGACCGATGGAGATCAGACGAATGCTGGCGAGGAGGTTGAGGTCAAGACCGAAGAAGACCAGACAGATGCTAGCAGAGAAGAGGAGGCCAAGACCGACGGAGAGCAGATGTCTCTCACCAAGATGATGGAGGCAAAGCTCAAGGCAGAAGATACGTTCGCTAACTCGGAGACTAATGCTGGCAAAGAAGAAGAGAGCAAGGCGACCGAAGATCAAATGGGTGCTACCAAAGAGATGGAGACAGAGGCGAAGGGAGAGCAGAAAGAGGCTACCGAAGAATTTGAAGGCAAGGCCAATGGAGAACAAGCGGATGCAATCAAGGAGATGGACGCCAAAAATAACGGAGAGCAGGCGGATGCTACCGAGGATGTAGAGATCCATTTCAATGTGGAGCAGACACATTCTACAAAGGAGATGGATATCAAGACCCACGAAGACCATGCGGATACAACCAAGTACATTGACGTACAGCAAATATCTGCTACCACAGTGATAAACACTAAAGCCACGAGCGTGGATGCAACAGACGCCTACGCGAAGGACCACATGCACAACGAAGAAGAGACACAAGGTGCTGAGGATTCAAGCAAAGGAACAGATCCTGTGACAAACAACCATGGAAACTTGGGCGATATGGTTCAGAGACAGAACGCGGAGAAATTCGGGGTCAATCTTGCGGAAGACGTGTAGTCGATCCCCATCCAAGTCTGTAGCAAATAGAATAAACCATGGTGTTATCATCCTCATCTCTCATCTCCCATTTCCATTATCCTTGTGCACTTTTCACATACCTAGGTATCTCGTCAAAGCCAAGGCCTACATCAACCACGTGATCTTTCATCAAACCACAACACTCCTTACACCACCCCCCTTCCATTCCTTCCATTGCCTTTCCACATCCCCAACCCCCTCCATTCCGCCTAAGTCTCCCAGCCCGCCCATCACTCAACATCAAAACTCCAAGCCCAGCCCCCAAGAAAAAGCAACCACCCCATCCACGCGTCCACGTGGCGTTTTTTCTTCTTCCTACGCCACTGTATGCAGAAAAACGATGAAATGGGCGCAAAAGCCACAAATTACCAGTTCACCGATCGTGCTAAAAAGACGCTGCGCTAGACGAGACCCTGCACCTCCCTGCTTTTTATTGCGTGCGTGCGTGCGTGCGTGCGTCGGCCGAGGTAGGTGGCCGGATTACGTACACAGGCGGATTACTGAACCTTAGCCTTGCTGCAGAGAGGCAATGGTGATTTTGTTTTAGTTGCTTTCTTCAAACAACTGAGTGGATTGTGGCGGATGAGGTGGTGAGGCCCTTTGCTTAGGTGTGCGCATGTGTGTGAATTATTTTGAGGATCCCGAGCCGCTCTTGCAGCGGCATCTCCACGATCCGGGAATAGGGAGGGACGGGGCGGACGGGTGCTGGGGGAGGGGTGGGTCTGCAGGTACGGGTTGTCATGCTGCGGTATCGGACTCTTTGCCTCTTTTCTGATTGTAGCAATACATTCAACCTCCAACTGGCGGAATGTGTTAATGTCCGGTCGCCCCTGGGTGTCATAGAATACTTGACAGTGTGGGTATGGGCCTAATGTTCGTGTCTGACAACTATAGTGACCTTTTTACACTAGTATGTCAACTATTTCATGACACCCGGGTGCTCTTCCCGAGATTTCTCGCCTGTTGTTCATTTCAGTGGATTCATACGGAACAGTCGAAGTCAAATGGCGCATGCGAGAGTATTCGGAGCATTCTTTCGGACTGGCACAGTCCGCAACAATCAATTAAGTGGGTCCTAGAAGGTTCAGATTGGATTGATTGATTACCGCTTTAAGCCTAGTAGTTACCTATAGGAGTTTAAGCCCTACCTAGATAGGTAAGTGGGTCTAGGAGAGTGACCGGATTGAATTGATTGTTGCGGAGTCTGCGGACTGGTAGGTGGAGATCAAGCGATCCGTACGGTAGGTATGTACGTCGCCATGTTGAGTGATGGAGTAGCCTACGGAGTCCCGTCCGGGGTATCGCATTTGCTACGGGGTCGCCGGACAACTACTGGGTGCGTTACGTATCAGCTATGTGCGTGCAAGGGTACGAATGTAGGTGCAGAGGTGTCCTTTGGTTGTCATGGTAGCTGCAGAGTAACGTATGCTTGACCAGGTCCAAGTCTTTGGTGCTTTAGAGTTCTGTTGAACTGTCTGATTTGCTTGTGTGGAAGGTGTGTCATGGGCGAGTCCACGCTTCTACATAGTGATAGGGTAGTCGCGACTGCCGTGATATGACTGAGCTCTACGCCAGAGTGGCTTCATTACCGTGATCGTTGTTGGTAGAGTGTGTCGTGTTAGTTTTTGTCGTTGTATCAAACACCAAATGCCGCTACCAGGTGGTAGCTTTGGGTGCCTCATCCTTGATGATTTTGACGGCGCGTTGAAGTAGACTCGATGAGCCATGAGGTATCGGCTGGAGCTCAGAGGCCGACGGTTCATGTTTGCTTGAAGTCCAAATCTGTGCTGTGCAAGCGGAGACTGAATACCTTGCGATTGGGACGTTGGTGCATGTGCGCCTTGTTTCAGAAAGCTAGGCGGCTTGGATGTAGGTTGACCTGGACGAGCTGTGCTGTTGTGAGCGCGCAAGCTGTGAAGCTTATAGTCGCAACATTGAGTTGTAAATTGATTGATAAGAATGACCCTAGAGGAAGTTTGGTGACGCTGAATTGCTGATGACTTGCTGAATATCTGATTATGGGATGGCTCTGGGGGTCTTATTGTAATGTATTGCAGTGAATACAATAAATTAAAGTGTAACCGCGCGAGGCAGTAACCAGAGTATATTGTGTGTGTTCTCTGTTGTTGTGCTCACATGTTTCGAAGGCAGCAGCAGGATCTATTTACATCACGTATCACCATCACGTGGCACACGTGATCCGCTTCTCCTCATAACCGCCACATAATGCGATGACTCTAATTGCGACGACTCTGGAGGCCCTTCTGTAATGCGATGAATCTGGTTGCTGTGCGCCTTCGCAGATGTCTTCAACTCCAGAATGACGACGTCGTACAATTACGATTTCTTGGCCTGAACGAGCGTCGTCCAACTCTTAGCCTGGCCGGAGGTGCGCTGCAGCCTCTTTGCGGTTGTAGTAGCAGCGTTATCCGCGTGTTGATAGTGGATGTCGAGAGGAATACCATGTAAGTAAGCATGGTGTGGAGCTCCTCGTGATGGACGATGTGTAGCCTTGTTGGACGAGCGAAGATGCGGACGACATATTCTCACATGGAGTTGAATTGTACCATCAGACACAAGCCAACAGCAATGCAAAGTCATCAAAGACCCTCGTGTCAATCAGATTTATCTATATCGTGGCCTCCAGCTGATGCGCGGACGACACGTTGGCTTCTCCAACCTCCTCGCGCTCCATGGACCTTTCTTTCCTCGCTTCCCTCCCGTTCTCACACTTGTCACTCTGCGATGTAGAAATCCTTCACCCTCCCTATTTCCTCAATCCATCAAATTTATGGACCCCCCAATTCACTTTCTTGAGGCTACTGCATCCTACTCCATCCACTTCTCATGCCATGCATCTCCCATGCGTATGGAGACGCCGGAGCATGCGGATTGGGCTTGTACGGGGATGGCTGGGACCTGCGGGTTGAACTTGTAGTGGCACCGGAACCTGCTGGGTTGGACTTGTATGGAGGCGCCGGAGCATGCGGGTTGGACTTGTACGGAGGTGGCTGGAGCCTACGTGTTGGGAATCGTAGCGGACTTGCCTGGGATGACAGGAGTGAAAATTTCTACATTTTTTAGTACAACTATGAAGCGCATCAATAGTTAGAACTCACTCAGACTGTTCAAAAAAAGCAAAAAGCGAAAACATACAACAGCGGGGATTCGCTAGTGGTCACCCACCTAACTACTAATCCGCCGGTACACCGTTTGAGTACCGCTGAGCGAACGGGAAGCGCTATTATCTCCCTCGCGACTGGCACAAAAACCCTTAATTTTCCTGTAAACGGTAATCTTAACGGCACCGTCCACTGTAAAGTGGTCCTGAATCCGGTATATTAACTCCTGTTTGCGTAGGGCTGTAAAGTAAGCGCTAATCTAAACGGGATAAGAGAATTATGCGCGAGGGAGAAAAAGTAAGCGCTAATGTAAAGGCAGCGATGCGGGCGCGAGTAGGACTCTTTAAGTAGTTGAACTATTATTGGTAAGTGCCTAATAATTAAGCTTTAGTAAGCTCGGAAAACCTTTAGGATACCGAGGTGCGACTAAGTTTATGACTTATTAGTCGCGTCGCTGTTACCCTTAACCGGCGCACTACACAACGAGCTTCTAACTCTACAACAACGCTAGACACGCGTCGCGTCGTTGTCCACAATCTAACACTTGCGCTACGTCACGCTAGACACGCGTCGCGTCCCTTCCCTATCTAATACCCGCGCTACACCACGAGATTCCTAGGAGGTACGATGGGTCCACATATATTCTATCGAGTCGAAGACGAAACATTCTTGCGCCCGCTACATCGATAGACAGGGTATAATTGCAGAGTACAGAGATACCTTGGTTAATTTTAGAAAGAAGGGAGCTGCTTTGCTAGACTAGATTGCGCAACATCTCGATTAGAGCAATAGATATCCTACGCTATTCATTTCAACGTATTGTGACAAGGAGGTAGCGTAGGGAGAAGTAGAACGGCGAGTGACTGCAGGAAAGAGGGACGTGAAGATCTACAAGATTAATATAGATGCTAGAAACGAGCGCACAGAGTATCGTAACATCCGACTTCTTGCTAAGAACCTAGGCTATTATATTCCCTTCGATGTATGGAACTACGCTGGCAAATGGGTCGGGGTGTGGTTGGGGTTGGGTTAGAAATTTTGCGACCCCAACCCAACCCCAACCCATTTGTCAGCGCCAAGCTTAGGGTTGGGTTGGGGTTGGGTTGGGGTCGCACGGACCATGGGTTAGGGTTGGGTTATAGTAAAAAAATTGCAAGATGTATAATATAGATTTCAATAAAAGAAAAGTTTATATAGTATCACAGTAGATTAACACAGTGTAGCATTAACTAGTTTCATTTATAATATACAGAGGCTTCGCCAGCTAGCATTTAAGCACGTGTATCTAGATATATCTTATAATCTAGAGAAAAGCTAGTAACTCGCGCGCAAAGTAGCGCCTAGCCAATTGAGAATCCTTCTCTTGAATAGTAACCCTCTTTGCGTGAATAGCATTGATGTTGCAGTCTATAAAAGTTATTAAATGAAAAATAGTATAGGGTAGATAGACTATACCCTCAAAATAACCAACTAAGAAAGCTTCTGTAGCTTCCTGAAGAGCTTCGATTGCAGATCGTTGAAAGCGGATATCGGCCTTGTGCACCTGTGCAAATTCGCGCACTACGCGGGAAAAGGGGAGTTTTCGCAAGAGTAGTTCAAAACCTCTCTGGTATCTCTTGATTTCCCGTAATGCGACAGCTAAGCTAAATTAGAAAATAGCTGTGATAAACGACTGTGATAACCTACTGCCTGCCTTAAACTTGCGCTTCTTCTTAACAGCTACAGGTGCCTTTCGCGTAGACTTTCCTGCTACTTGACGTCTAGCCTTACTAGCAAGGGCCTTCTGAGCCGGCTTGCCGCCAGTAACTGTCTTGCCATCAGGACCACCCCGGCCGGCTTTACCGGTGACCTTAGGCCGTGGTTTTGTCCTTGCCATTGCGTAGTAGAGTAGATGATGAACGTAGGCGACGTATGTGATTAATTACTGTGATAAATGTGGTCGACAATTAAGAAAGTAGTAGGCTGAAAGAGTTAGGTAGCTGGAAAGTTTGGGCGACGGCAATTTCCCGATTTCCGCACTAGTAAAGGCAGCAGCGCACGGACTGCATGACGTAATTTGCTGTTTCACGATCGCATACAACCATTTCTGTTGCAAAATCAGTAGCGAGCATATCATACAAACGTGTTAAACTGCTGTGATAAACGCCGAGCTCGCGCATGCGTACAGCCCAAAAATGAAGGAATCATCGATGTGTTGATCATTTTGGGTAATTTCCGCGTTTTCGCGCTAGCGCAGGCAGCAGCGCACGGACCATTTCTAGGTGAGCATAATGCTGTCTACCCATTTCTCCAGCCCCTGACGCCCAGTAACTCCCAACACCTAATAACTCTCTTTACTACATTGAAAACACCCCATTTACAACAGCGCATTATCACAGTCCCCGCCATGCCTGTCGCGAAAGAGCAAGTCGGCGACGTACCTGAAGGCCTAGTTCCAGCCATCAAACTTGAACCTCCGCCTGGGTTCGAACAAGATGAGTGGGAGCAGCTTACCGATGTAATAATCACAGCCATTTATCACAGCTTATGCTAATATAAGCAGGGATTTGCGTGTGAAGCTGACGAGATTGACGGTATCTTAGATCAAAGAGGTAGTGGGGGTTCACGAAAAGGCCGACCTATCAATTTGAGCGTCCCCTATACTGGCTCTCTGAGTGGTAGCGCCCGTGCTATTGCTCAACGTGAACGCAAAGCTCTTTTCGATAAAGAGGAGAAGGTACTTGAAAGCGTTAGAACAGCCGACCGCTCCGCGAAGTACCAACTGAAGAAATCGCTTTTGCAACAGCCTAAGTATAAATTAGCAAATAGTGCTAGACAGGCTAAGCTGCTAGAGAAAGAGTGGGATATACTTTCAGAGAAGCGGTTTACCCAGAAAAAGTCTGGTAAGTTATCACAGCTGTTTATCATAGACATCTGCTAATAGACTATCCCAAGTGGCGAAGGATATACTAGCAATACCAATTGCTCAGGTTGGGGTTGAAAGAGTTTTCAATGTTGCTAAGGATGTTATTGGTAGTCGGAGGCACCGACTATCTGCCCGGACAATACAGCAGATAATGGTTCTTAAGGATACAATATCTCAAGAGGAAGAACAGGGTCTAGACTACCTAGTTGCTCAATTAGGGGAGGATGGAGAGCCAATTGACGAGGTTAATGATCTTTTTGAGCTTCCAGCCTCGTTAGAGCATACCTTCGATATAGATGAGGAGAACCAGACTACAGAAGAAGAGTCGGAGGAAGAGGTCCAGGAGGAGCGTCAATTGCCACCTCGAAAGCGCCAGCGTCCTCAGCGCTACCGTGATAATTAGCTGTGTTAATATATCTCGTTTTATGTATCTACTATATCATCAACGTGTACACATTATCTTAATTAAGTGTTGTTCCGTTAAAGTACCCAAAAAATATAACCCAACCCCAACCCAACCCAACCCAACCCAAGCCCAACCCTACCACTTGGTCTGTGCGACCCCAGCCCAGCCCTAACCCATGGTCTGTGCGACCCCAACCCAACCCTAACCCATGGTCTGTGCGACCCCAACCCAACCCCAACCCAAGACTGGGTATACCCAACCCATTTGCCAGCGTATATGGAACAACTCGAAGCACGAATACGTCTTCCTCTATCGCATTCTAGACAGCGTAGTTGTAGGATAGGAAGACCTATAAATGTTTATAACATCGTGAACAAGAGAGCTATAAAGTGTAGATTATAGTGCAGATTGTAGTTAGAAGTGTATTAACTGTGTTCGTTAGTTTTACGAATAAGAAGATTGCTGTTTCGTCTTCTATGAATTTGCTATAATAATAACAAATGTTCTAGATAACAGCAAGATAAGGTTAGCTATTTAACTATTAGGTAACAGGGAGGGTGGCCAACGCGCCCCCGTAGCGTAGGAGGCGATGTTATGTAAATATAGCTGAAGAGGAGAATGCTGTCTCTAGATAAGGTAGCTTCTTGCTATGCATCGCCACTGCCCGACTAATGCTCGCCAGAAAACGCACCTGCGCGGCCGTCCGTGCTCTGACACCTGACGCACCCGGACATTCTTGTAAGACAGGACCCACCGCGTGAGAACTCTAGTACAGCGACCCATCTGCGTGTACGTCCGCGTACGGCTCACAGCCTTGCGCAAGAGCTCGTCGCAAAGGCGTCTCAGCTTGTGTACAGTTGTCAGATAATAGCACTGTTGAAGATGAGAGCGTACAGACGCCGGGTCTGACTAGTGCGACCCGGCATCTGTAAGAGCCAATCAGAACACAGGAAGGCTTGGCACCCCCTAGGTGTGCCCACAACCGTAGACAGAACCACAACACAATAAATCATCAATATCATCACCATCATTACCTATTTCATCAGTATTCCAGATGAGAGTGAATATCTGACAACAGTACACGCGGCGCTTAAGAGATGCTTGCTCGGATTTTGTTGTGCAATGTGGGTCTAGAAGTTACAATACTATACAGTAATTACTGTTGAGACGCGGTGAGAGCCTTCACTAGTATTCACGGTGAATCAGGCTTCCCGTGCTCTGATTGGCCAGGCACTGATTAGTCAGCTGCTCCGTGCGCGCACCATAGATATTCTCCCTTCTCCCGTAGCTCCAATACAACAAGTTCACGCACGTTTCTCCACCTTCATCAACAACAACAGAACACAATATACTCTGATGACTGCCTCGCGCGGTTACACTTTAATTGACTGCATTGTACTGCAACAGATAACAATCAAGCCGGCTTGAACTGATTGTTGACATCTCTGCGGGCCTAGAGGTCAGACTAATTATAACGCAGTAAATGCGGGATATTGCTAGAGAGG